CAAAAACTAGATTTGCTACGGCTTTTCTTACGCTAACAAGGATCAACCAACAAAAAGGTAACTTGAGAAAAATGTTCACTTCAGAGGAATGGACTACAAGCAAATGGGCAAAAGAACAAGGAGGCAAAAGGACAGCACAAATCATTTTAATGCTTTCATTTTGGAGTAAGGTTGTCTACTCTCTTAAGCTTACTGGCCCTCTTGTCCGTGTGCTTCGATTGGTTGATGGTGAGAAAAAGCCTCCCATGGGGTACATTTATGAAGCTATGGACCGGGCTAAAGAAGCGATTGCTAATTCTTTTAATGGCAATGAAGAGAANAAGAATAGACCACTTTTTAGTACCATTTGTACATATATAAGAAAAGGGAAAAGTATAACCAAGACATATCAGAGACACTTCTTTGTAGNTAAAGAGAAATACAAACACATCTTTGAAATCATTGACCGAAGGTGAAAAGTTCAATTGCATCGGCCTTTGCATGCAGCTGGGTATTTTTTGAACCCAAAGTTTTTCTATTCTAATCCAGAGGTTGAGAAAGATCAAGAAGTCATGAATGGTCTATATAAATGTTTGGAAAAGTTGGTCTCAAATCCTGCGATACAAGATAAAATTGGNTTCATTCTTGATACTCCTGCTTTCTTTCTTTATCATAATTTTGTCATGCAGTCGCCTGACTCCCACATCCCACAAATATTCTAAATAAATTCAGCAACACAAGGAAAAAAAANAGGTAATCTATGTTATCCCACAAGCTTATTTCATTATCATTGCTTAAATATGTTAGTTAATTAATTGTTATTCATTATTCACAGCTGATTGGAGTGCATATGGGTCTGCAACTCCAAATTTGCAAACCTTTGCAAAAAAAGTTTTAAGCCTTACTTGTAGTGCATCCGGTTATGAGCGAAATTGGAGTGTGTTTGAGCATGTAAGTATCATCCTCAAACCTCTTCAATTACATTTTTTTTAATCTTATTATAAATTTTAATGTATTGTTAATAAATTATTGCAGATACACACCAAAAAAAGAAATAGACTAGCTCAATCCCGTCTCAATAATTTGGTGTTTGTTAATTATAATAGAGCTTTGAGACGCCGATATGATTCTCGTGACACAATTGATCCAATATCTTTGAAGGATATTGATGATAGCAATGAGTGGTTGATTGGGAGAATGGATGCAAACACAAATGAAGATAATGAGCTTGTGTTTGGTGATGATACTTTGACTTGGGGCGAAGT